AAGGTACTTTTCGTCGTGAAAGCAATCAAAATCATAGCTATTTCTGTAATATATCTTCCATTCTATCAAATGAGACAAAAAAAAACGAGAATACAACCATAAAAACCATTCAAAATTACCGCTAAGGGGTGGCTAATTGCTGAGAAGTGAACTCCATTATTTATGCTTAGATTTCTTTCATTTTTGGTGTATGTTAAGAAGAATCTTTCCATCATACATTGCCCAAGTTTCAATAAGACAGTCCAACAAACAAATGAGATACAATTCCTGAGATCAAAAGCAAGAGCTCCTCACCAGTATCAAGGAACCTGCCTTGAGGTCTGCTCACTTGTGGAAATTTTGCTCGTGTATGGAAGCAAAAAATCGACCCATCGACTGCTCGTATTTGGAAAAACTTGCACATGGACACGCTCGCAAGTAGAGGCTCCACTGTAGTGCATTTTTAAAACTATTCCAACCCTCTTCAACTCCCCCCACTACTCATACTTGCACCAGCCCACCTTTCTGCCAATAGTTGCTTATATCTCACCCGAACTTAGTTTATACACTTTCACCTCCCTCTTGCTTGTTGTTGCCATTTTCCTCTTTTCCCATCTACCTCTTACTCTAACTGTAGCTACAACTAAATAATGATCCGAGATATCAGTTGCCCCTCTACAGACATGTACATACTGGAGCTTACTCATCAACCTTTTATCCACCAATACATAATGTAACAAACTACTTTCATTACGTGCTATATCATACCATGTATATTTATCCTCTTCTTCATAAAATATGTATTACTTATTACCAAACCTCTTTCTACACATAGCTCACTTAAAGGCTCCCAATTTTCATTCACCCCTGGTACCACAAATTTACCTACTACACAACATTTTTGCCCACTTTAGCAATGAAATCCCCAACCACCATTACTCTCACACTTGGTTCAAAACTCCCCACGCATTCACTCAACATTTCCCAAAATCTCTCTCTCTCCTCTACGCTTCTCTCTTCTCCAGGTGCATATACGCTTACTATAACCCACTTTTCACATCCAACCTTTACTTTACTCAACACAATCCTTGAATTAATACATTTATAGTCCCTCTTTTCCTACCACAACTTATCCTTCAACATTATTGCTACTCCTTCTTTAGCTCTAACTCTATTTGAAGCCCCTGACCTAATCCCATTTATTTCTCTCCACTGAAACTCTCCCACCCCTTTCAGCTTTGTTTCACTTAAAGCCAGGACATCCAGCTTCTTCTCATTCATAACATCCACAATCATCTCTTTCTTGTCATTTAACCAACATCCACGCGCATTCAGACTTCCCACTTTGACAATTTTCTTCTTATTCTTTTTAGTAATTATTACAGGAAAAGAGGTTACTAGCCCATTGTTCCCAGCATTTAGTTGACTTTTACAACATACATGGCTTACGGAGGAAGATTCTTATTCCACTTCCCCATGGATATAAAAGGAAAAGTAATAAGACCAAGAACTATTAAGATAAAATCAAAGAAAACTCAGATGAGTGTGTATAAATAAACATGTACACGTATATGTAGTGTGACCTAAGTGTAAGCAGAAGTAGCAAGACGTACCTGTAATCTTGCATATTTATGAGACAGACAAAAGACACCAGCAATCCTACCATCACGTAAAACAATTACAGGCTTTCGTTTCACACTCACTTGGCAGGATGGTAGTACCCCCCTGGGTGGTTGCTGTCTACCAACCTACTATATTATTATACATACATACTAATAATAATACACTGCAGCAAGCCTGTTGGCCTATTCTAGGCAGGTCCTTCACAATCCATCCCACTAACAGAATATTTGCCCAACTCAGTTTTCAATACTACCCAAGCAATAAGCTTTAATAACTCTATTTACTCACGTGCAAGTCCCACTCAAATCCAACCCCTAACTCGTGTATTTATCCAACCTAAATTTGAAACTACCCACAGTTTTAGCTTCGATAGAACCATGGGTAGCTTTAAAAAGAGATTGAACAAATATATGAGTGGGAGGGGCTGGGTATGATTAGTGTCGTGGATACATAATAACATAAGAAAGGAGGAACATTGCAGTAGGCCTGTTGGCCCATACCAGGCAGGTCCTTCACAGATCCTACCCACTAACAGAATAAACGTACCCAAGCAATAAGCATTGACAATGCTATTTACTCATCTTGACTGTGTGCTAATGGAGTTACATGAAGCTGACATCGAAGAAATGCTGAATACTGATAATGATGAACCTGTTGTGCATTCCTTGAGTGATGGTGAAATTAGATGAATTGTGATATATAAGTAAGCCATAGAGTTTATATTAGCATCATACTGAAGTATTCTGTCATTCTTCCTAAGAGCAGGAATTCCAGTGGAACAGATTAATGCCATTTCAATTAATTTAAATGATGAAAATTGACTCGGCATACGAACAAATCAAGATACGAACAAGGTCACGGAACAGATTAAATTTGCAAGCCGAGGTTCCACTGTACTATTGTGTTCAGTATCTTTCATCTACAGTGGAACCTTGGTTTTCATATGCCCCAGTTTTCATAGGATTCAGTTTTCAACAACTTTTTTGTCAAAATTTTGTCCCAGTTTTTGTACATCTGCTCGGTTTTCATAGAGCTGAAAATGGTCCGTACCAAATGTGTCCAAGTGACTCAGCCACTCAAGCACACACACAAAGCATCCAATGCGTTCATTACTTAGTCTGCCTTTGTTTCTTGTTGAGTGAGCATCACCTCGTGCATTCATCCAAAACATTTCGTAATAATCCCTTGTTTTTTGTGCTTGTTTACTAAGTGTGACTACTAAATAAGCCACCATGGGGCCAAAGAAAGTTCAGAGTGCCAGCCCTTTGATAAAGAAGGCGAGAAACATGATAGAATTCAAGAAAGAACTTGTAGCAAAGTATGAAAGTGACATATGTGTGGCCGTTCTTGCCAGGATGTACAGGAAGTCTGCATCAATGATCAGTTCCATCCTGGCGAAGAAAAAGAAATCAAGGAAGCTGATGTTGTGAAAGGGGTAAATGTGCTAATTAAACAGAGATCGCAAACAATCTAAGATGTTGAGAAGTTGTTGTTGGTGTGGATCAACGAAAAACTGTTAGCGGGAGATAGTGTTTCGAAGGCAATAATTTGCAAAAACTCAAGGCAGTTGCATGTGGATTTCGCAAAAAAATGCCTGGAACGATTGCTGCTGTTAGTAAATTTAAGGCCAGCAGAGGCTGATTCAACAAATTCAAGAAGCGAACTGGCATACACAGTGTAGTAAGGAATGGTGATGCTGCAAGCTCGGACAAACATGGGGCTGAAGAATTCGTTGATGAATTCAAGAAGTACGTAGAGGCTGAAAAAATCCTCCCCCAACAAGTCTTTAATTGTGACGAAACAGGCCTCTTTTGGAAGAAAATGCCAGAGAGGACACAAGCCTATGAAAGATAGGCTAACTCTTTTGTTCTGTGGTAATGCTAGTGGGGATTTCGAAGTGAAGCCTTTACTGGTGCCTCACTCTGAAAATCCCTGAATGTCCAAGAAAAACAATGTCACCAAGAGTAAACTGTATGTGATGTGGAAGGCTAACAGTAAGGCATAGGTCACAAGGCAAAATTTCATTGAGTGGGTCAATGAAGTGTTTGACCTGAGCGTGAAGAAATACCTCCTGGAAAATCAATTGCTACTCAAGTGCCTCCTGGTAATGTACAATGCTCCTGCTCATCCTCCAGACTTGGAAGACCAATTGTTTGAGGAGTGTAGTTTCATCACAGTGAAGTTCTTGCCCCCTAATACCACTCCTCTCCTCCAGCCCATGGACCAGCAGGTCATTTCAAATTTCAAAAAAACTCTACACCAAAGCACTGTTTCAAAGGTGCTTTGAAGTGACTTCAGACACTGAATTGACCCTAAGAGAGCTCTGGAGGAATCACTTCAATATCCTCAATTGCCTTATAGATAAGGCTTGGCAGGGAGTGACTTCCAGGACAATGAACTCTGCTTGGAGAAAATTGTGGCCAGAATGTGTCCTAGAGAAGGATTTTGAAGGGTTTGAGGCTGACCTTGATGAACCTACGCCTACTGTGGAATCTCGTGTCTTTGGGGAAGTCCATGGGGTTGGATTTGAGTGGCCAGGATGTGGAAGAGTTGGTGGATGAACACAGGGAAGAGCTAACCACTGAAGAGCTGCAAGACCTTCAACTGGAAGAGCAACAGACCGCAGCTGAGGAAATAGCTTCAGAGGAGGAGGAGGAGGAGGAGGAGGAGGAAGAGGAAGAGAGAGGGGAGAATGTGTCTTCTTCAGTGATTAAGGACATGTGTGCAAAGTGAAGTGAGTTGCAAAGTTTTGTGGAGAAATATCACCCTAACAAAGCTGCTGCAAGCCATGTCTGCAACATGTTCAATGACAATGCCTTGTCCCATTTTAGGCAAATCTTAAAGAGATGCCAGAAACAGACCTCCCTGGACAGATTTTTTTGTGCGACGGGGGTACAGTGACTCTCAAGCTGGTCCTAGTTCCAGTAAAAGACAAAGGGAAACAACCCCGGATTGGGCCTAGATACCTGCAGTCCTTATGGAAAGGGATTTCCCTTCCTAACAATAACCTCTCCTCCTCCCTCTCCCCTACTCACCGTCTTCCATACACCAACAAGAGTCTTCAATAAAGGTAAAAGTGATGTTAAATGTTCATTTATCCATTTCATTAGCCATTTATTTTTATTTCTCATTGTTTTCTGTATGTAAAACTACAGTTATTCTCTATAAAATGTATTTTATGTTAATATTTTTGGGTGTCTGGAATGGATTAATTGGATTTACATTATTTCTTATGGGAAATATTGCTTCAGTTTTCATACAATTCAGTTTTCGTCAGACTTTTTTAGAATGGATTAATCACGAAAACTGAGGTTCCACTGTATTTACTCTTCTCACCTCATTATTTATTTTTTTAGTCAAGAAATAAAGAAAATATCTGTATTAGCTGCTGTACTTACTAAGTTCATCTTCCTTTTTAGCGCCAGCACCAACACCTGGTGCTCCAGGTTTACCTCCTGGCACTCCAGCCTTTGCTCCACCTGGTTTACCCCCTGCCCCTTTCAGTGCTTTTGTGTCAATATCAGAAGCTTCAATACCCATTGCCTTCATCTGTTCCTCTCGCTTTTCTTGGGCACTCAAGAAGGCTCGAGGGTCCGAAAGGGCATCCATCAAGTCTTAAAAAGAGTTAAAATATTTTTTAACATGTACATTTGAAAATGTATATGCAGTAATATCAAGAAATTACATTAGCTCTATAATTTAATTAAATTTTATTTATATATTTATTCAATTAATAAATAAATACATCCAGTTCCTCCATACTCCCCTTCAATCTGATATTCAGTCTATTATTGCCTAGACTTTTTGTTACCCCTCATCACATTGCTTATTTATACATTTACTTTTAAATGCCTTCTGATATACAAACATTCCTTCCCTATAATTCAATCACCTTTCCACCATGAATGTACATTAAATATTATACACCTACCGCCAAGACCATCAGGAACATAGATCTTTAGTTCAATGTTACAGAACAACATAGGCAGTGACATGGGAAAGTTGCCTTCCGTGCGTAGAGAGATGTGACGATAACCTGCTTGTAACCCATCCAGAGGCAGGATCCTCTGTCCCAGCATCTTACCATTTTCATCAAACACACCAAATCGTAGGACAGCTAAGTCAGGCAATACAACCTGTTTCATGAAGTAATATGATAAAGTATGATATTACATGATCTGAATTACAGTAACACCCGCAGGGTGTATAATGCCAGATAACAAGAATATACAGTGTTCATGTATATGTATAAAGTGATGGTAAAAGCATCTCAGAATAAATCAAAATTAGTGACTGATCTATAGTTGACTGCTATGTTACAGCATTTACACTACTCTGGTCAAAAAATTTTGCTTATGAATATGAATTATAAAATTATCGCATTTTTCTAATAAGTTATTCTTTCTTTAAAAACACTGGCATTTGTAATTTACTAAATATAAAACTATTCTTTTTCTGTCTCATAAACATGCAAGGTTGCAGGTGTGTCTTGCTACTTCTACTTACGCTTAGGTCACACTACACATGCATGTACAAGCATATACAGGTCCGCCATCACAAATCCGGCAATCAGTTATTCGGTTCCTTCAGTTATTCGGCACTAATTTTGGCTAGCATAATTTCAAATTTCCAGGGTCGCTACACCAACCTGCTGGTACTGTTTGGTGGCGCTACTTGCTGCACAAGTCATTCCAATTTCTTTTTCTCCATTTATTGTTTTAACCTGTTTACTTTTAGTCCTAGCCATGGTTCCAATGAATAAAAGAAATGTTTCTCATTATGTAAAGCACCTACACAGTACATTATCCATTAAAGATAAGGTGGCTTTGAAGCCACTGTCAGTTGCCATGAGCTGAGTCTCATGAAGCAGGAGAATATGCTTTATTATTACACTAATATCAACACTACAGCTTATTTGCCTATCACAATTGATCTAATATGACATAAACAATATAAATAACATAAAACATGTTAAATACTCCAGAATGAATAATATTTGGCATAAAACTGAGCAGTTTGACAGAGTTATGAAGAGGATATGGTAAACAAATACCGTTCTCCTATCCTTGTCTTGGGGGCTTATATTAGAGAAAACGGAGTATAGCACAGGACTAACTATAATATACACTTGTACTCCACCATAAACATGAAACAAAAAAGTTATTTTATCTCTATAGATTATCACACATAGCAGCATATGTGTAGAGAACCTAGGATAACCCCAAAAAAGTCAATGTGGCTTATTTTTAGTACCTTGGGTTAGCCATATATGATTTTTGGTAAATATTCGATTCCCAGCAGGGTAGAAACATTAAGCATGTTTCTTTACACCTGTTGTCTATGTTTACCCATCAATAAATGGGTACCTGGGTGTTAGTCGACTAGTGTGGGTGTTATCCTGGGACACTGACCTAATTTTCTTGAAATACTCAGCATAACAAGTGCCTTTCTTTACAGTAGTATGTCACTGATGTCAGCTAGGCCTGTATACCTTGTACATGTACGTGTAGTAAATAAAGACATTATTATTTTTATTATATTATTATTATTATTATTTTCTCAGTTATTTGTTGGGTTATCTTATTCAAACTTGGGCAATGTATGATGGAAAAATACTTCTTCACGTACACCAAAAATAAAAGAAATCAGACCATAAATAGCGGAGTTCACTTCTCAGCCATTAGCGGCCGCTTAGCGGTATATTTTTGTATGGTCGTTATGGTTATATTCTCATTTTTTCGGTCTCATTTGATAGAATGAAAGATATATTACAGAAATAGATATAATTTTGATTGCTTTCATGATGAAAAGTACCTTGAAATTGTGCTCACAGTAGCAAAAATGTTCTATTCTTTAGCAAAGCTCATGAGTAAACAAATGACATCACCGTCCAATACCTGTCCACCTGCCAGTCCAAATTCCAGTAAGGAGTCAAGAATGGATTGACATTATTTATACAATTATTACAATAATGCAGTAGTCTGCATAACAGTAAATTTTTTATTTTTTTTGTGAATAAAAATTCCAAATGGTAAGCAAGAGTAATATAAGAGGGGCCTGTAGACATGACTAATGAACAGAGAAAATGTTATTTTAGTGCCAGGAATGTCTGCATTGTTAATTCTGGACCCTATTTTGAAATTGGCATCTTTTGAAATTTGTGTGAAATCGGCCAAATTGCCAATTTCTGACCACTTTATTGGGTAGTTGAAATAAGTGAATGGGCAATTTCTTGTACTCAGTTGAGAGACTAGAGGTAAATAAGTTTATTCAGGTATACACAAATACAGTTACATAGGTTATCATACATAGCAGTGTATGTATAGAGAACCTGGGATAACCCAGAAAAGTCAGACAAAGTGACTTATTTCCAGTACCTGGCTTGGGCTTTCCATATATGATTTTTGGTAAATATTTTTTTTCTCAGTTGTTTTTTGGGCTATCTCATTGAAACTTGGGCAATGTATGATGGAAAGATGCTTCTTAATGTATAACAAAAATAAAAAGATGGACGATAAATAAGGGAGTTCACTTTTCAGCCATTAGCCGCCTCTTTGCAGTATATTTTCGTATGGTCGTTATGGTTGTATTCTCATGTTTTGGACTCATTCGATAGAATGGAAGATATATTTCAGAAATAGACATGATTTTGATTGCTTTCATGACGAAAAGTACCTTGAAATTGAGCTCAAAGTAGCGGAAATGTTCGATTTTTGCCGATGTTCAATGAACTGTGTAAGTCAAGTTGGTTAATTTTATTAAGTGTATTCTAACTTAACCACTCTGTAATTCGGCAAACTCAGTAATCCGGCACACTACAGGTCCCAATGATGCCAGATTTGTGATGGAGGACCTGTATATACTAACCCCTCTGGGTTTTCTTCTATTTTCTTCCTAGTTCTTGTTCTTGTTTATTTGTGCTTATGTCCATGGGGAAGTGAAACAGAATTCTTCTTCTGTAAGCTATGCATGTTGTAGGAGGAGAATAAATGCCGGGAGCAATGGGCTAGTAACCCCCTTCTTCTGTATAAACTACTAAAAACAAGGAAAAGAAAAACTTTATAAAATTGGGATATTAGAATGTGTGTGGATGTAGTGTGGATGATAAGAAAGAAAGAAATGATTGTTAATGCTATGAATGAAAAGAAGTTGGATGTCCTAGCCCTAAGCAAAACAAAGCTGAAGGGGGTAGGGGAGTTTCAGTGTGGAGAAATAAATACTATTAAGTCAGAAGCATCTGAGAGAGTTAGAGCTAAGGAAGGGGTAGCAATAATGATGAAGGATCAGTAATGGAGAGAGAAGAGGGAATATAAATGTAAAAATTTAAGGATTATGTGGATTAAAATAAGGGTCAGATGTGAAAAGTGAGTCATAATAAGTGTGTATGCACCTGGAAAAGAGAGGAGTGCAGAGGAGACAGAGAGAGATTTTGGGAGATGTTGAGTGAGTGTGTAGGAACTTTTGAGCCAAGTGAGAGAGTAATTGTGGTAAGGGACCTAAATGCTAACCTAGGAGAAGCATTCAGAGAGGGTATGGTAGTTAAGTTTGGGGTGCCAGGTGTAAATGATAATGGGGAGCATTTGATTGAACTTTGTATAGAAAGGGGTTTGGTTATAGGTAAGACATATTTTAAAAAAAAAGAGAATAAATAAGCACACAAGATATGATAAAGGGCATGATGACAGTAGTTTGGCTGACTACATATTGGTAGATAAAAGACTGTTGGGTAGACTTCAGGATGTACATGTTTATAGAGGGGCTACAGATATATCAAGATTACTTTTTAATTGTAACTACAGCAAGAGTAAAAGGCAGATAGGATACAAGGACTATAGAAGCAGCAAGTAAGAGAGAGGTGAAGGTTTATAAACTAAAGGAGGAGGCATTTAGGGTAAGATATAAACAACTGTTGGAGGACAGATGGGCTAGTGTGAGTATAGGCAATGGGATAGAAGGTGTATACTGTAAATTTAAGAATATAGTGTTAGTGTGTTCATCAGAAGTTTGTGGTTACAGAAAAGTGGGTGCGGGAGGGAAAAAAGAGTGGCTGATGGAATGATGATGTAAAGAGAGTAGTAAGAGACAAAAAGTTAACCTATGAGAGGTTTTTACAAAGCAGAAGTTATGCAAGGAGGAAGGGGTATATATAGAGAAAAGCAGAGGTTAAGAGAGTGGTGAAGCAATGTAAAAAGAGCAAATGAGAGAGTGGGTGAGATGTTATCAACAAATTTTGTTGAAAATAAGAAAAAGTTTTGGAGTGAGATTAATAAGCTGAGAAAGCCGAGGGAATTTCTTAGTTAAAAATAGGAGAGAAGAGTTACTGAATGGAGAGTTAGAGGTATCGGGAAGATGGAGGGAATATTTTGAGGAATTTTTAAATGTTGATGAAGATAGGGAAGCTGTGATTTTGCATATAGGGCAAGGAGGAATAACATCTTATAGGAGTGAGGAAGAACCAGTTGTAAGTGTGGGGGAAGTGCATGGCATAGTGGGTAGAATAAAAGGGGGTAAAGCAGCTGGGAATGATGGGATAAAGAGAGAGATGTTAAAAGCAGGTGGGGATATAGATTTGGAGTGGTTAGTGTTTTTATTTAATAAATGTATGGAAGAGAGTAAGGTACCTAGGGATTGGCAGAGAGCATGTATAGTTCCCTTGTATAAAGGCAAAGGGGGCAAAAGAGTGTGTAAAAATTATAGGGGAATAAGTCTGTTGAGTTCTCCATCGGGAAGAGGAACAGAATTCTTCCTCTGTGAGCCATTCGTGTCGTAAGAGGCAACTAAAATGCCAAGAGCAAGAGGCTAGTAACCCCTTCTCCTGTATGTATTACTAAATTTAAAAGGAGAAACTTTTTTTCTTTTTGGGCCACCCCACCTCAGTGGGATACAGCTGGTACGTTGAAAGAAGAAGTCTGTTGAGTATACCTGGTAAAGCGTATGGTAGAGCTATTATTGAAAGAATTAAGAGTAAGATTTAGAGCAGGATAAGGGAGGGTGTAGACCAAATGTTTGCAGTGAAACATATAGGTGAACAGTATTTAGATAAGGGTAAAGAGGTTTTTGTGGCATTTATGGATTTGGAAAAGACATATGATAGGGTGGATAGGGGGTGATGTGGCAGATGTTGCAAATGTATGGAATAGGAGGCAGGTTATTGAAAGCAGTGAAGGGATAGTGAGGCTCAGGTTAGAGTATGTAGGTGAGAGGGAGATTATTCCCCAGTAAAAGTAGGCCTTAGACAGGGATGTGTGATGTCACCGTGGTTGTTCAATATATTTATAGATGGAGTTGTAAGAGAAGCGAATGCTTGGGTGTTGGCAAGAGGTGTGGGGTTAAAAGATAAAGAATCTAACACAAAGTGGGAGTTGCTCTTGTATGGGTGTGAGGCATAGGTTGTGAATGTTGCAACAAGGAGAAGGCTGGAAGCAGTGGAGATGTCATGTCTGAGGGCAATGTGTGGTGTGAATATAATGCAGAAAATCCATAGTTTGGAGATTAGGAGGAGGTGTGGGATTACTAAAACTATTATCCAGAGGGCTGAGGAGGGGTTATTGAGATGGTTTGGACATGTAGAGAGGAAGGGACAAAACAGAATGACTTCGAGAGTGTATAAATCTGTAGTGGAGGGAAGGCGAGATAGGGGTAGGCCTAGGAAAGGTTGAAGGAAGGAGGTAAAGGTGGTTTTGTGTGCGAGGGGCTTGGACTTCTAGCAAGCGTGTGTGAGCAAATGGAAACAAATGGTTTTGAGGACTTGACGTGCTCTTGGAGTATAAGCAAGGTAACACTTAAGAAGGGATTCAGGGAAACCGGCAGGACAGACTCAATTCCTGGAGATGGGAAGTACAGTGACAGCACTCTGAAGGAGGGGTGTTAATGTTGCAGTTTTATAACTGTAGTGTAAGCTTGCCTTTGGCAAGACAGTGATAGAGTGAATGATGATGAAATTTTTTTTTTCGGACCACCCTGCCTTGGTGGGAAATGGCCGATGTGTTAATAAAAAACAATAAAATAAAAACATTCTGATAGTTTAAAATACAGTGGACCCCTGACTTATGATATTAATTCATTCCAGAAGTCTGTTCGGGTGCCGTTACCGAATGAATTTGTTCCCATACAGAATTTGTTCCCATAAGGAATATTGTAAATTAGATTAGTCCGTTTCAGACCCCCAAAAATACACGTACAAAAGCACGTACAAAAGTACACTTACATAATTGTTCGAGTTGGGAGCTGATCGTAAGGCGGGGGTCCACTGTATATTTGAATATTTATCATCCAAATAAATGTTAAATAAAAAATCTACCATGAGAAATATTATGGTGAAAATTATACATGCATTTTTTGGAACATTAAAGACATTGCAGAAGTATATTTCCATGGTATTACTATTTTCACTTAAGCAAAATTCCCACAGAAATTTTAAATATTTTTAACTCACCTTACGGAAGAGAAAAGGTTCTTCATTATACTGAGGATTGAGACCATTGCCAGGAATCATGCGTGTCCTAAACTCTTTTCTGATAGTGTCTGTGGGCAGGCCATACATATCAACTTCAACATATGTTCCTACTTTTTTGTCTGATAAGAACTGACCAGCAATGACCTGAAAAAATTAAGGGTTAAGACTTAAAACTTAAAAACAAACCTTTTTATGCTAATGTTTATGAGACTAATAAGAGCTCTGATTAATATAACTAGTGAGGGAGTAAAGGTGATAAAATAATAAGCCTCTTATACACTTGGGAATTACAAATAAATATATACAGTACAGCCTCTCCTCACTTAGCGACGTACTCGTTTACTGACACCTTGGACTTACAAAGAGCTCTCTGACCATATTTATATCTAAATGAAGTATATTAGGGCTGATTTCTTCTATACTTTTTATTTCAATATACAGTACACTACTGTATAAACATTTAAAAATATACCAGATTTTTTTTTTTTTTTTTTTCAACAAGTCGGCTGTCTCCCACCGAGGCAGGGTGACCCAAAAAAGAAAGAAAATCCCCAAAAAGAAAATACTTTCATCATCATTCAACACTTTCACCTCACTCACACATTATCACTGTTTTTGCAGTTTAGAAGCATACACATATAAAGATACACAACATATCCCTCCAAACTGCCAGTATCCCAAACCCCTCCTTTAAAGTGCAGGCATTGTACTTCCCATTTCCAGGACTCAAGTCCGACTATATGAAAATAACCGGTTTCCCTGAATCCCTTCACTAAATATTACCCTGCGCACACTCCAACAGATCGTCAGGTCCCAAGTACCATTCATCTCCATTCATTCCTATCTAACACGCTCACACATGCTTGCTGGAAGTCCAAGCCCCTTGCCCACAAAACCTCCTTTACCCCCTCTCTCCAACCTTTTCGAGGACAACCCCTACCCCGCCTTCCTTCCCCTATAGATTTATATGCTTTCCATGTCATTCTACTTTGATCCATTCTCTCTAAATGACCAAACCACCTCAACAACCCCTCTTCTGCCCTCTGACTAATACTCTTATTAACTCCACACCTTTTCCTAATTTCCACACTCCGAATTTTCTGCATAATATTTACACCACACATTGCCCTTAAACAGGACATCTCCACTGCCTCCAACCGTCTCCTCGCTGCTGCATTTACCACCCAAGCTTCACACCCATATAAGAGTGTTGGTACTACTATACTTTCATACATTCCCTTCTTTGCCTCCATAGATAACGTTTTTTGACTCCACATATACCTCAACTCACCACTCACCCTTTTTCCCTCATCAATTCTATGATTAACCTCATCCTTCATAAATCCATCCGCCTACACGTCAACTCCCAAGTATCTGAAAACATTCACTTCTCCCATACTCCTCCTCCCCACTTTGATATCCAATTTTTCTTTATCTAAATCATTTGATACCCTCATCACCTTACTCTTTTCTATGTTCACTTTCAACTTTCTACCTTTACACACATTCCCAAACTCATCCACTAACCTTTGCAATTTTTCTTTAGAATCTCCCATAAGCACAGTATCATCAGCAAAAAGTAACTGTGTCAATTCCCATTTTGAATTTGATTCCCCAAAATTTAATCCCACCACTCTCCCGAACACCCTAGCATTTACTTCCTTTACAACCCCATCTATAAATATATTAAACAACCATGGTGACATTACACATCCCTGTCTAAGACCTACTTTTACTGGGAAGTAGTCTCCCTCTCTTCTACACACCCTAACCTGAGCCTCACTATCCTCATAAAAACTCTTTACAGCATTTAATAGCTTACAACCTATTCCATATACTTGCAACATCTGCCACATTGCTCCTCTATCCACTCTATCATATGCCTTTTCTAAATCCATAAATGCAATAAAAACTTCCCTACCTTTATCTAAATACTGTTCACATATATGCTTCAATGTAAACACTTGATCTACACATCCCCTACCCACTCTGAAATCTCCTTGCTCATCCGCAATCCTACATTCTGTCTTACCTCTAATTCTTTCAATTATAACCCTACCGTACACTTTTCCTGGTATACTCAGTAAACTTATTCCTCTATAATTTTTACATTCTCTTTTGTCCCCTTTCCCTTTATATAAAGGGACTATACTTGCTCTCCGCCAATCCCTAGGTACCTTCCCCTCTTTCATACATTTATTAAACAAAAGTACCAACCACTCTAACACTATATCCCCCCTGCTTTTAACATTTCTGTCATGATCCATCAGTTCCAGCTGCTTTAACCCCCTTTCATTCTACGTAATGCCTCACGTACCTCCCCCACACTTATATTCTGCTCTTCTTCACTCCTAAAAGATGGTATACCTCCCTGACCAGTGCATGAAATTACTGCCTCTCTTTCTTCCTTAACATTTAAAAGTTCCTCAAAATATTCTTGCCATCTACCTAATACTCCATCTCCCCCTCTACTAACTCCCCTACTCTGTTTTTAACTGACAAATCCATACTTTCCCTAGGCTTTCTTAACTTGTTTAACTCACTCCAAATTTTTTTTTTATTTTCATTAAAATTTCTTGACAGTGCCTCTCCCACTCTATCATCTGCTCTCCTTTTGCACTCTCTCACCACTCTCTTTACCTTTCTTTTACTCTCCATATACTCTGCTCTTCTTATAACACTTCTGCTTTGTAAAAACCTCTCATAAGCTAACTTTTTCTCTTTTATCACACCCTTTACTTCATCATTCCACCAATCACTCCTCTTTCCTCCTGCCCCCACCCTCCTATAACCATAAACTTCTGCCCCACATTCTAATACTGCATTTTTAAAACTATTCCAACCCTCTTCAACCCCCCACTTCTCATCTTTGCACTAGCCCACCTTTCTGCCAATAGTCACTTATATCTCACCTGAACTTCCTCCTCCCTTAGTTTATACACTTTCACCTCCCTCTTACTTGTTGTTGCCACCTTCCTCTTTTCCCATCTACCTCTTACTCTAACTGTAGCTACAACTAAATAATGATCCGATATATCAGTTGCCCCTCTATAAACATGTACATCCTGGAGCCTACCCATCAACCTTTTATCCACCAATACATAATCTAATAAACTACTTCCATTATGTGCTACATCATACCTTGTATATTTATTTATCCTCTTTTTCATAAAATATGTATTACTTATTACCAAATCTCTTTCTACACATAGCTCAATTAAAGGCTCCCCATTTACATTTACCCCTGGCACCCCAAATTTACCTACTACTCCCTCTATAACATTTTTACCCGCTTTAGCATTGAAATCCCCAACCATCATTACTCTCACACTTGATTCAAAACTCCCCACGCATTCACTCAACATTTCCCAAAATCTCTCTCTCTCCTCTACACTTCTCTCTTATCCAGGTGCATACACGCTTATTATAACCCACTTTTCACATCCAATCTTTATTTTACTCCACATAATCCTTGAATTAATACATTTATAGTCCCTCTTTTCCTGCCATAGCTTATCCTTCAACATTATTGCTACTCCTTCTTTAGCTCTAACTCTATTTGAAACCCCTGACCTAATCCCATTTATTCCTCTCCATTGAAACTCTCCCACCCCCTTCAGCTTTGTTTCACTTAAAGCCAGGACATCCAGCTTCTTCTCATTCATAACATCCACAATCAATCAATCAATCAGATAAGTTATAAATTCTCCATGGGGAAGTGGAACAGAATTCTTCCTCCGTAAGCCATGCATGTCGTAAGAGGCGACTAAAATGCCGGGAGCAAGGGGCTAGTAACCCCTTCTCCTGTATACATTACTAGAATTAAAGCGAGAAACTTTTGTTTCTCTTTATGGGCCACCCTGCTTCAGTGGGATATGGCCAGTTTGTTGAAAGAAAGAAGATGTTATAAATGGTGTAAAGGTGACAAAACAATAACAAAGACAGCTGATATAAACCCACTACTATTATAGTATGCTCTTCACTTCGGGACGAATTTGTTTACTGACATGGTCTTAGGAACGGAACTCCGTCGTTAGGTAAGGAGAGGCTGTATAGTATAATAAACTGATCCTTTTTATATATGAATAAAGACATAGCTCATACTTAATGCTTTTCATTTACAATATTTAACTCTTTCAGTGTCGGCAGGCCCTCTCCTAACTTGCTCTTAGGGTCGAAAATTTTTCGGAAAAAAAAAAAAAAAAAAAAAAAAAAAAAATCTTATGAAATGATAGAGAATCTTTTCCTGATCATAATAACACCAAAAGTATGAAATTTGATGGAAAACTTATGGAATCACGCTCTTGCGAAGTTAGCAGTCTCGCCGATGTTTACGCGTCGGCAATTTCGCCCACTTTGAGCCCTATTTTCGGCCAATTCCAATGTACCAGTCGACAAAAATCATAAGTATTTTGCTAGAACTCCACTTTTTATATCGAATGAGTACAAGAAACCACCTAATTACACATTTCAAGTATCCAATAAAGTGGTCAGAAATTAGCAATTTTGCCAATTTCATACAAACTTCAAAAGATGCCAATTTCCAAACAGGGTCCAGAATAAACAAGACAGACATTCCTGGCACTAAAATAACATTTCCTCTCTTCATTAGACACATACCCAGGCCTCTGTTATATTTCTTTTGCTTTCCACTTTGAATTTTTATTCTCACATAAAATAGAAGATTTACTGTTATGCAGACTACTGCATTAGTGTAGAAATGGTATAAATAATATAAATAATATCAGTGCACTTGTGAAAGAAAATTAGACTCGCCAGTTGACGTGTACTGAACGTGTGGCATGATTTGTTTACTTTTGAACTTTCGCAAAAATCGAACATTTCTGCTGCTTTGAGCTCAGTTTCAAGGTACTTTTCATTGTGAAACCAATCAAAATCATCTCAATTTCCATAATATGTCTTCCATTCTATAAAATGAGACCAGGAAAACTAGAATACAACCATAAATAGCATACAAAAATACACTGCAAAGTCGCTGTTTTAAACCAAAAATATGGTCGGAGTTTTTTTTTTCTCATTATGCACTGTGTGCTGCAGGAATTTTTTTTATACTGTGCACACTGACCACATAGATCCATTCTTTCATACGTAGGCCTACCAGCTTTCTCTCGCTAGATTTGAAG